CGCACGCGGGCGGACCCACTGGGGGCTTCGGTGGGGCTCCCTATTGGGCCGCGAAGCGTTGTAATGGGTGGGTGAATATGCCAAATTGGATGTGGGGGACGCATGTGGGCGGTACCACTGGGGGCTCCGGTGGAGCTCCCTATGGGGTCACGAAGCGCTGTACTGGGTATGTGAAAATGCCAAATTGGGCGTGCGGGATGCATGCGGGCGGTCCCACTGGGGGCTTCGGTGGAGCTACCAATGGGGCCAAGAAACGCTGTACTGGGTGGGTGACAATGCCAAATTGGATGTGGGGGACGCATGTGGGCGGTACCACTGGGGACTTCGGTTGAGCTCCCTATGGGGCCACGAAACTCTGTGCTGGGTGGGTGACAGTGCCAAGTTGGGTGTGGGGGACGCATGCGGGCGGTCCCACTGGGGGCTTCGGTGGGGCTCCCCATTGGGCCACGAAACGCTGTACTGGGTGGGTGAAAATGCCAAATTGGATGTGGGGGACGCATGTGGGCGGTACCACTGGGGGGTTCGGTGGAACTCCCTATGGGGTCACGAAGCGCTGTACTGAGTGCGCGGAAGTGCCAAATTGGGCGTGGGGGACTCATGCGGGCGGTCCCACTGGGGGCTCCGGTGGAGCTCCCTATGGGGAAACGCTGTACTGGGTATGTGAAAATGCCAAATTGGGCGTGGGGGGCGCAAGCGGGCGGTCCCACTGGGGGTTTCGGTGGAGCTCCCTGTGGGGCCACGAAACGCTGTGCTGGGTGGGTGAAACGCATGGAAGAAGGAGGGAGGGGAGAAGGAGGAGAGGAGAAGAAGACAGGAACGCGGGGTTCAAAACGAGGACCCAACACCACAGGATGGTTGGGAAAGACATGGGAACCAAAGATCATGTTGGCAATTGTGGCAAGCATATCACTTGTGAACCCCACGGGCGCAAAACGCGAAGATGTCTCGAGCGGGGGCCTCGTCCGTGAGTCCATAGCGAGGAAGTCTCGGGCGCGAGCCTCCCCCCACCCCCATATGGGGCCCGCACGTCACGTTGGCAATCCGAGCGGGCCATCGGGATACAGCGCTTGAGAACCCCAAGGGGGGCAAATCGTGAGGATGTCTCGAGCGGGAGCCTCGTCTGTGAGCGAATTGCGAAGATGTCTCAGACGGGACCCCCCCCCCCAATGGCGTCCGCACTACAGGTTAGCACTATGAGCGGGTCGTTGGCCTACTGCAGCAGGCAAATCACTTGTGCCCCCAAGGGCGCAAATCATGAGGATGTCTCGAGCGGGGGCCTCGTTTGTAAGTGCATAGCGAGGCAGTCTCGAACAGGAGCCCCCTTCCCTATGGGGCCTGCGGGTCCAACAAGGGTCACGGGTCGCACAGTTCCTACGGGCCCCGCAGGTCTCAAAGGCTCCACGCGGCGCAACCTGGTATCCTCGCATCGTGGCAGCATCAACATCGGTAGTGGTCGGTGAGGGTGAGTCTGATTCACATGTAGGAGGTTGTCATGCGGGGTCCTTCCGTCGGAATAATTCGCCGGCCCAACGGGCCAGGGCGTGCTAAGATCTCCGGTAACTGGTTAACAGTATTAACAGTATTTCTAGTTCGCGCGCGCGGGGCGGCCCCTGGGGGTCCCCCGGCGAAAAGTACCCCGACCAACGCCCGGTCGCCGCCCGACCAAGTCTACTCAGAGATGGTTTTCCTTCTGGGTGCGGCCTCTCAGGCTCCCCAGAGCGCGCTCAGAGTGCCCCAAGAGGCCCCCAAGACTGCCCAAGAGGCCCCCGAGACGCCCAAAGAGCGCTCGAAGACGCCGAAGATGACCCCAAGACGGCCCAAAAGGCCCCCAAGACAGCCCAAGAGGCCTCCAAGACGCCCCAAGAGCCTTCCAAGAGGCCTCCGAAGAGAGCCCCAAGAGGCCAAAATCGTTGATTTTCATTTGTTTTTTCGATGTTTTTTGTGTTCTGGCTTTTTCGGCTTCCGGACGCTCCAAGACGGCCCAAGAGGCCCCCAAGACCGCTCCAAGACGGCCCACGAAGCTCCCAAGACGGCGCCGAAACGACCCAAGAGAGCCCTCAAGACGGCCCAAGTGCCGCCCAAGACGGACCAAGAGGCCCCAAGACGGGCCCAAGAGGGACTCAGGAGGGATACCGAGAACTCAAAAATGGAGCCCTCCGTCCCAGAAGGCGCCCAGGAGGTCCCAAAGAGGCCCCAAGAGGCCTCCAAGAGGCCCCAAGATGTCGCCAAGAGGCCCCAGGAGACTCCCAGGAGGCCCAAAAGAAGCCCCAGAAGGCTTCAAACATGTCTCCCAGGCGCCCCCGAACGGCCTCTCAACAGACCCCAAGAGGCCCCCCAAAGAAGCATCTTGACGACGACTCTATTTCGCCCCATCGAGAGACGACCCCCAGGGAACTGCTTCACCATCAAAACTCCCCACGCAACGCGTCCGAACGACACCCGCCCCCAAGAGCGCAACATGGGCAACGAACACACAGACAAAAACCAGCGATGCCATATCACGGGCCGGCGGAATGAGCGAAGCGATTCAATTCGTAAGTGGAATACTGTTTTGCGGACCTGGTTGCCTCTGCGCGAGCTGTCATTGCGTGCGATTGGGCAACGCCATGCACACCTTTACACATCCCCCCTCACCGAAAATTGGATGCCACTGGACCTCGCTGATGAAAATTACTGTGTACGGTGGCCTTACCGAAGCCGTCGAAACCAGCAAGAAACCTGCCACGAGGCATGGTCCGAAAACCTGAGCGGAAAGCCAGGCGGACGGTTGAAACTTTGAAACTTGCGCGCTGGCCAACACGTTGCAAACCCCCACCAAGCGGGGACAGAATCGCAATCGTAGCCCTGGTTAGCCGTCCACCACGCCCGCCCGCGCCACCCCTAGGCGGCTCAACCCAGCAGGGCATCACCCTTAGTCGACTTGGCATATGTGACCTGGTAGATTACGAGGCCGACACCACACTTGGATATGATGTCCGAGACGCAGTAGCCAATCTGGATGGCTACGACAGCATTGGACGCCGTGATTCCGAACATCGGGAAGAGGTACACGACCGGGTAGGTGCACCAACTAATCACCGTCATCACCTGCGCAAGTTGAATCTTACCTTTGATCGTGGGATCGATTTCGCTGTCAGTGGCCGCCTTCAACCCAACCAGCAACTCGTATACGATGTACAGGAAGAAGCACATGGACAAACCCCAGCATTTCCAGCGCGAAGTCAGGTCGCCGCTCACGGTCAGCTCGCCATAGTACCCGGTGACGATCATCAGGGCGGCGCCGACGCCCAACGTCTTGGACTTGACGCTGTAGGTCTTCTCGTCCAGGTTCATGACCAGCAGGATTTCGATCAGCAGCAACGGCACCGTCAGCAGCCAGTCCATGTACCGGTAGGCATCATTGAAGGGCGTGCCCGTCAGCTCGGGGTCGGCCTTGCCCACGGGGTATGTGTAGGCCTCCACCCACGAGTTGAAGATGCGGATGTAATGGTAGGCTGCTATGAACGTAACCAGGCCAGAGATGATGACGGCACTCTTGAATTGGTCGCGTACCGCAGTGGAGCGGAACCACAAGTACATTGTGGTCGCCATCATGCTCGCGAGGGCGAACGACAGCGTGTTGTACACCGCCTGGTACTGCATATCGCTCATCGGGTACATCACCATAGCTCCTGAGGCGGTCGACCCACGGACACGGAGATTGAGCAACAATGGCTACGGAAAGCCATCCTGTGGTTTGGATTCTGGCTTCGGAGAAACAGCGCCGCGGGTCTCCTCCCTCTCCCCCTCCCCCTCCTCACCCTCCTCCCTCCTTCCATCATCCCTACGCCCGAGCGGGTCGTTAGCCGATTGTAACAGGCATAGCACTGAGCACCCCAAGGGCGCACACCAGGAGGATGATTCGAACGGGAGCCGTGCATGTGTGCGACTTGCGAGACAGCCTCAAGCGGGAGACCCCCACAAAAAACATGGGGCCCGCAGATCATGTTGGCAATCCGAGCGGGTCAATGGCCAACTGTGGCTAGCATATCACTTGTGCAACCCGGGGCGCAAAACGCGAAGATGTCTCGAGCGGGGGCCTCGTCCGTGAGTCCATAGCGAGGAAGTCTCAGGCGCGAGCCCCCCACCCCCACCCACCCCCATATGGGGCCCGCACGTCACGTTGGCAATCCGAGCGGGCTATCGGGATACAGCGCTTGAGAACCCCAAGGGGGGCAAATCGTGAGGATGTCTCGAGCGGGAGCCTCGTCTGTGAGCGAATTGCGAAGATGTCTCAGACGGGCCCCCCCTAATGGCGTCCGCACTCCATGTTAGCACTATGAGCGGGTCGTTGGCCTACTGCAGCAGGCAAATCACTTGTGCCCCCAAGGGCGCAAATCGCGAGGATGTCTCGAGAGGGGGCCTCGTTTGTAAGTGCATAGCGAGGCAGTCTCGAACAAGAGCCCCCTTCCCTATGGGGCCTGCGGGTCCAACAAGGGTCACGGGTCGCACAGTTCCTACGGGCCCCACAGGTCTCAAAGGCTCCACGCGGCGCAACCTGGTATCCTCGCATCGTGGCAGCATCAACATCGGTAGTGGTCGGTGAGAGTGAGTCTGATTCACATGTAGGAGGTTGTCATGCGAGGCCCTTCCGTCGGAATAATTCGTAAGTGGAATACTGTTTTGCGGACCTGGTTGCCTCTGCGCGAGCTGTCATTGCGTGCGATTGGGCAACGCCATGCACACCTTTACACATCCCCCCTCACCGAAAATTGGATGCCACTGGACCTCGCTGATGAAAATTACTGTGTACGGTGGCCTTACGGAAGCCGTCGAAACCAGCAAACAACCTGCCAAGAGGCATGGTCCGAAAACCTGAGCGGAAAGCCGGGCGGACGGTTGAAACTTTGAAACTTGCGCGCTGGCCAACACGTTGCAAACCCCCACCAAGCGGGGACAAAATCGCAATCGTACCCCTGGTTAGCCGTCCACCACGCCCGCCCGCGCCACCCCTAGGCGGCTCAACCCAGCAGGGCACCACCCTTAGTCGACTTGGCATATGTGACCTGGTAGATTACGAGGCCGACACCACACTTGGATATGATGTCCGAGACGCAGTAGCCAATCTGAATGGCTACGACAGCATTGGACGCCGTGATTCCGAACATCGGGAAGAGGTACACGACCGGGTAGGTGCACCAACTAATCACCGTCATCACCTGCGCAAGCTGGATCTTACCTTTGATCGTGGGATCGATTTCGCTGTCAGTGGCCGCCTTCAACCCAACCAGCAACTCGTATACGATGTACAGGAAGAAGCACATGGACAAACCCCAGCATTTCCAGCGCGAAGTCAGGTCGCCGCTCACGGTCAGCTCGCCATAGTACCCGGTGACGATCATCAGGGCGGCGCCGACGCCCAACGTCTTGGACTTGACGCTGTAGGTCTTCTCGTCCAAGTTCATGACCAGCAGGATTTCGATCAGCAGCAGCGGCACCGTCAGCAGCCAGTCCATGTACCGGTAGGCATCATTGAAGGGCGTGCCCGTCAGCTCGGGGTCGGCCTTGCCCACGGGGTATGTGTAGGCCTCCACCCACGAGTTGAAGATGCGGATGTAATGGTAGGCTGCTATGAACGTAACCAGGCCAGAGATGATGACGGCACTCTTGAATTGGTCGCGTACCGCAGTGGAGCGGAACCACAAGTACATTGTGGTCGCCATCATGCTCGCGAGGGCGAACGACAGCGTGTTGTACACCGCCTGGTACTGCATATCGCTCATCGGGTACATCACCATAGCTCCTGAGGCGTTCGACCCACGGACACAGGGCTTGAGCAACAAAAACTTGAGCCAAAATGGCAACTGAAATCCAATCTGTGGTGTTGGATACTGGCTTCGGAGAAACAGCGCCGCGGGTCTCCTCCCTCTCCCCCTCCCCATCCTCCCCCTCCTGCCTCCTTCCATCATCCCTGCATGTGCCTTCCGCATGCCAACCAGCTCGGCACACCCCTCACGCGCTTCGTCACCCAATAGGGAGCTCCACCGAAGGCTCCAATGGCTACGTTCGCACGTGGGCGTTACGTCCGAAACGCCCGATTGATTCGTTAGCCGATTGAAGCAGGCATTGCACTGAACACACCAAGGGCGCACACCGTGAGGATGTCTCGAACGGGGGCCTTGTACATGCGTGAATTGCGAAACAGCCTCAAGCGGGAGAGTCCCCCCACCCATGGGGCCCGCAGATCATGTTGGCAATCCGAACGGGTAATTGGCCGATTGTAACAAGCATATCACCTGTGCACCCTAAGGGCGCAAATCGCGAGGATGTCTCGCGTTGGGGCCTCGTGCGTGAGCGCATAGCCTTGAAGTTTCAGGCGCAAGCCCCGTCCCTCTGGTGACCGCGAGTCCTAGAAGGTTCACGGGTAGCACAATTCCCACGGGCCCGGCAGGTCTCAAAGGCTCCACGCGGCGCATCCTGGTATCCTCGCATCTTGACAGCACCACCATCGGTTGTAGTCGGTGAGGGTGAGTCGGATTCACTTCCGGGAGATTCTCATGCGGCATCTTCCCGCCGGGATATTTAAATGGAATGCTGTTTCGCGGACCTGGCTGCCTCTGCGCGAGCTGGTCCTGGAATACTGATGTGCGGACCACGAATACTCTTTTGCGGACCGCGGGTCTCGTTCCTCTCCTCCTCCCTCTCCTCCCCCTTTTCCCTCTGTGAATATCTGCTATTCCCCTCTGCATGTCAACCACTTCGGCGCACCGCTCACGCGCTTCGCGACCTCAACAAGGAGCTCCACCGAAGCCTCCAGTTGCTATGATTGCAAATTGGCATCACGCCGATTTCGGCTCACCTCGCACACGCTTGGTGGCACCATTGGGAGTTCCACCCGAGGCCCGAGTGGATACGTTCGCATGTGGGCGGCAAGCCAGTTTCGGCGCACCCCTTACACGACTCGTGTATCACAAGAAGCTATGTCGAAGGCCCACGTGGCAACATTTGCATGTGGGCGCCACGCCTTCCGCGCACACCTGGCTTGTCTCGTGCCACCACATCGTGCTGGACCTAAGGGCCCAGTGGCTACGTTTGCATGGGGCGTCACGCCCGTTTCGGCGAACCCCGCAAACGCGTCGTGGTCCCAAAGAGAGCTCCACCTGAGGCCCCAATGCCTACGCACGTCCGCATCTCAACGTCACGCCCGTTCGCGCGCACCTTTTTCACAGGTGTGGTGGCCACGTGGGGGGCTCCACCTGAAGCCCCAGAGGCTACCTTCACATGTGGGCGTCACGTCCACTTCGCATACCTCTCACACGTTTCGTGATCCCACAGGGAACCCCACTACTTTTGCAACTGGGCGTCACGCCCGTATCGGCGCAGGCCGTCACACGCTTTGTGGCACAATGGGGAGCTGCACCGAAGGACCCAAAGGCTACGTTCGCATGCGGGCGTCACGCCCGTTTCGGCGCTCCCCCTTGCACGCTTCGTAGCCACATTAGGAGCTCCATCGAAAGTTTCAATGGCGATGCTCGCATGTGGGCGTCACGCCCGCGGCCCACAAACGCAGCCATGGCACGGTGCGCTCGCGGCATCCGCCCACCACCCAATCTGGCCTGCCCTTCGCGCGCTTCGTGGCCTGAAATAGAACCCCGACGGATACAACACCCAAACATGTTATACGCATTGCAAAATTATGGTTGGACCCGACGCCCGGATAATTTTGAGCCTCTGGGAGGCTCCTGCGGGCATAAATGTGGCGGCACGACTCGCAACGTCGGAGTTGGGGTTGCCTGTTGTCTCCTCGTGGTGCCTCCTTGGCTGCCTCAGAAGCCCTCTTGGGGACCCCCTTGTCTCGAGCACGAAAGATACCCGTGCCCTTAGTTACCCACGCGGGGTAGCAAGGGGCGGAGGAACGACATGCGGCAGCCGACAGCGATTGCACAAATGCAGATGCGACGGCCCATGGAACATCACAGGACGCTGTTTTCTCCGGGCATCCGCTGGCACAGAAGGCGCGCCTTCCAATCGGCAGAGCGTCCGACCACACACTGGTCGCTCTCAGGCTAGACCAGCTCGTTCGGAGGTGCGCCCACGAAGGCGCACAATCAAGCGTTTGGGGCTCGACGCGCAAAATGCGTCCTGGGTGTCCTGGGCAGGCGACGCTGCAATCCCGCGCTCGCCCCAAACGCCTGGCGTTCCTAACGCCAGGCGCGGTCGCCAGGGGCTGTTCCCTGGAAAACCCGCCCGGCGTCACCCTGGCTAGGTCCGGGTACGTGACGAGGGGCACCGTCGCCGACGCGCGTTGATGGTACCCCCCGAGACATACCCGTACCTAGACGAGGTGGCGTTTGGTCGAAGTCGATTTCGGGCGCACGCGCGGCCCCCCACCGCTCTCCCGAACGCGGCCGCAGCGGCCACCGCGGGAGCGTGAGATTGCAACGACGCTCCTGCGGGCAGGCCCAAACGCAACGGAGTGATGGCGCCTGTCCCCTAATGGGACAGGCACCACCACTCCAATGCTGTTCCAAACCCTGCGGACACCCCCGATGCCCCAAGAAGTCGCTGACGCAAACCAAGGCATGTCGCTGCAATCAGAAAAAAACAGCCATTCAGCGTGTCATTGCGTCCTGACGCGCGGATGCTGAACCAGCGCGCACGCGGCAGGCTGATCGGGCGCACTGGCCAGCGCCCAATCCAGCGGACGGCCCTGTTCACCCAGTCCGACCCCGGGCAAGGGTATGTTTAGGAGCAATGACCTTGGAACACCTTGGGCAATCCTTCGGTTAGATGGGTGTTCGCTAGGAGGCCAACTGGTAGTGCCTTGAGGCGTCCTGGGAAGCCCCCTGAAGTTGTCGCAAAGCATATTGGGCCGTCTGGAAACGCTCCTGGACCCCACTGGGTTCGTCTGGGGCGGTTGCTGGAGTCACTTGGCCCGTCTTGGGCGCCATGGCCTCAGTGAACCCAAGGACATGTGTCAGGAGTGCCGTTTGGTCTATCTCGCCTCATGCCAGGTTTGCCGGTGAGGCAGAAAGCTCGGGGGCGCCTGTCGGGATCACTTGGGAGGCTTTCCGGGCACTGTGGGGAGCGGTGCTCGGGGGAAAACAAACCTACCTCGTTTTTGACCACCCTCGCTTCCAAGAGATACCAAACGATGCCAAACTACGGCCTGTACTGGTCAGGCCGCTTGACGATGAGGCGCATGGTATGACCTGGTTTTGCCTGGAAGCGAAAGCGGGGTAGGTAATTCACGCTCTGAGGTGTGGAAGCCTGCTGGGAGCAGCCTGGGGCCTCTCTGGGGCGTGCTGCGGACTCCTGGAGGCGCCCGGGGGGCCTCCTGGGAGGCCTCCTGGGGGCCGCCTTGAGCCTCCCGGCTCTCCTGCTGCGCGGGGAGGTCGACGCGTCAAGAGGAGGAGGAGGAGGACGAGGAGAAGGAGGAGGTAGGAGGAGGAGGTAGGGGGTGGAGGACGAGGAGGAGGAGGAGGTAGGGGGAGGAGGAGGAGGAGGAGGAGGAGGAGGAGGAAGAGGAGGAGGAGGAGGAGGAGGAGGAGGAGGAGGTAGAGGGCGGAGGAGGAGGACGGTGCGTGCTCCCTCTCCGGGACACGCCTCGGGCGGTCCCTCAGGCCGGGTGGCAGCTTCCGACCCCCAACCCCTATCCACCATCGAACCTCCAGCAGACGAGCGCGTTCCACTGCTCGCAGAGTAGCCCGGATCCGCCGCGGAGGATCTGCGACACCATGTGCATCGAAGCAGGCATGTGTTTCTCGGAAGTCTCGGAAGTTTGCGAGTGGGCACGTTTGCGAGTAGTGGAACGCGCTCGGTGATCCTGACTCGATGGGAGACAGGGTCTGGGCTCGGACTTCGCTGCATGTTCGGCGCACCCCCGCCGCCAACTGGGGTGCCCAAGTCTTCGATCGGCGAGGGTGAGGGTCGGATTTCGCCGCCGAGAGGTGTTCTTGGGCCGTCCTGGAGGCATCTTGGCCCAACCTGGTGGCCTCTTGGGCCGTCTGGGCGCCCACCTTTCAGGCGTTGGCAGAACTGGGTTTAGTGGGACCTGGTTTACTGAGGTGTACTGGGGGACTCAACCCCCCCGTTCCACTAACTGGAACTGCCGTCACCCGAAAAACACCAACTACGGCAGACCTGGCTTAGTGATTCTGGCCAATTTAGTGGCTCCGGGGCCCTACTATTAACGGGGTCCCCTTACCTGGGGTCCTGGCTATACCCGAACCTTTTTGTCCAAACCTTTTTTTCCCAGATGAACATAATACGCTTGCGTTTGCGCGGCAAACTCGCAAGGCCGCGGAAAGCTCACGCTGCGCGGACAGCTCATGGCCTCACAAAAGGGAAAAGACTCGTGTGGGCAGCGGGAGCGGCTCTCGCGCTGCTGGACACGCAAAACTCCACACAAAGCCCTGCATAACAGCAATCTCTACGCAGGTGGCCATGCCAAGCTCGAACGCTCCGTCCAGCCGAGCGGCCTCTCCTGTTCCCACCGTCGAATCTGCGTGGCCGCTATCTGGCCCGTATTTGGGTCGGCAGACTCGACATCGGGGGGCGAGAGCGCGGGCCGCCGAAGCACAGGCTGGCGCAGGCCGTGGGTGGCTTGCGCTGCAGCGCCGCGCGGCCGCAGGAGGAGGAGGGGAGCCGAAGGCAGCGCACCACCAGGAGGGGCAACCCGTGCGGGAAAGTGGCGCCCTTGGGCGGCCGCCACGAGATTCCCCAGGTGGTAGCAGGAGCAGCAGAGGTGGAGAGCAGGGCGAGCGAGGAGGATTTTGAAGGTGCGCGCCCACAGCGGAGCGAGGCGACGCGAACTCTCCAGCTGCACGAATGCACCGGGCGCAAGCGAATATCAGAGAGGAGAAAAAGGGGGGGAGAGGAGAGAAAAGGTGAAGTGAGCGGGGAGGAGCGCGCGAGGCAGCGCACACGCCAACCTGCTGCTGCGAACTGGCAGAGGCAACCTTGGAGCCGCGCACACGCCAATCTGCGACGCCAATCTGCTTGTGAACTGCTCGTCGGACGTGTGCCCCAGCGACTCTCGCACCGGTGCACACTCGGTGTCACGCAGTACTGGCAACGGTCGAGGATGAGCACGTCGACGCTAACTCGACTCAACTAAAAAAAAAGCTAATACTCAAGCGATATGCCGCGCTAGCACCTACGACATGCTCGCAGATGTTCCAGGGCCACGAGATCGATCTTGAGGCCAGGCCAAAAAATATGCATGGGAGAGTTTGGCGACACCGCGCCTCTACTGCACCCACTGAGCTGATTCGGCGTTGCTGTGCATCCTGTCAGGGCGACACGGCCAAACTGAAACTGCTCACTAGGAAGGCGAAAGGTTGGGGGGCGGGGAGAGAATGAGATGGAAGGTGTGATCTTCGATGAGGAGGAGGGGAGAGGGAGAAGTGAAGAGATCGGCTGAGGCGACGAGGGCACCTTCAGAGCAGAACGACGCCAAAGCGCGGCGGTAGCTCACCTACGCTTGCCGTGACCTCACCTCGATTGCGCTTGCCAGCCAGCCTCTGGCGCCTCCTGCGCTGCGCCAGGGACTCATGTCCAGGCTCCTGCGCGATCCTATCTTTCCTTCTCTGCTGCTTGTTCCTCGCCGTCTTCTCGAGCTTCTGGGGGATCGCGTCACGATCTCCTGGGGAGGCTCCAAGGAATGTCGCCAAGGCCGGAGCTGACTTGGAGCGATGAAGCAGCTGCTGCCGCCAGCGCGTCTCGTCGTCGTCCACCACATGGATCAGCGTCGACCTGACCACAATGTGCCAACGCGGCTCAGGCTGCCACACATCCGACTTGTCAACGGCGGCAGGGCCACCGCACGAGCCGCCAATCATCAGGACGGCTATGCCCTGCCGTGCGAGTGTAAGTGTCACAAGAAAGTTAGACCTTGCGCGAGAAGCGGCTTGAGCCAACATGGTTTCGGAACAGTCTGGGCGCCCACCTGAGGGCCTCCTAGGCCGTCTCAAGATGACTTTCGGGCCTCTGAAATAATTCTGGAGCGCCCGGAAGCCGAAAAGCATGCAAAAACGCAAAGACATCAACAAACAGTAGAAAACGACGGAATGTTGCCTCTTTGGGCCCTTTTGGGGTGCCTCCCAGAAACCTCCTGGAGCGTCTCGAGGGCGTTCGAGGCCGTCTGGAAGCTCTCGCGGGGCGTTTTGGGTGCGTTGTGCGCCACCTGGGGGCCACCAGGGGCGCCTGGCCAAAGACTTCGTCGACTCAAGGCGCTTTTGAGCCGTCTGGTTTCTGATTCCTGACGCATGAAAAGGGCCCTCGATCGCAGCATCTTGCCCCCCGAAGCCGGTCTGCCCTGGGGGGAGATCGCACTAAACAACCAGGTCACTGGCGTGACCGACTGTGTTCGGCCGTCTGGGGCACCTCTGTGGACAACACGGAACACCTCTTGGGACGTCTCGGAAGCCTTCTTGTTGGAAAGGGCCCGGGCACCCAGCCACACCATGCGTTGCCGTGGCAGGGGGCCCCGGGCCCCCTGGCCTCCTGAACCGGGGCGCACATACGATATAACCTCCGTGCATGTGGACAGCCCCGCCCCAACTCCCACTCATCGCTATCTGTTACTACGACGGTGTTCGTCATGACTGTTCCCATCCTGGGGAGACAGAAAGGTACCAATACCGCTACTCCCCGGACCTCTCCTGGGGTGCGTTCTGACAAGGATTTCGAGGCGAATCCCGCGGTGGCAACGAGGGCCTCCGCGGAGGCCCAAAAGAGGGAAAACGGGCGAAGGGCAGAGGTATGGGTACCTCTTCCTCCTCTGACATCCGGTCGCGCCCTTGTTCCTGATTCCTGATGGTGTTAGAAGTCTCCGGCTGCCGCCCCCTCCCAGGAGCGGCCCCCCCTGGGGAGGTGCTCCAAGTAATGCCAGGTGACCCTTGGAGCACCGTTCCAAAGGCCAGCGGCTCCTACTGAAGGGGCCTGGGACACACAAATGAATAGACGCAAATAACAGGATTCCCCACATGATCCAATAGTTTCTGGGTTTTCGTCTTCCCCCCCACTATCCATATTTCCCAATTATTTTCTGGGGAATCGACGATCAATAGTGTCTGTGTTTTTTTCCCCTCCTGAGCTACGTCTTTTGGTGTGTAGAGGTAAACGTACGTAGCGCAGAGAACGACACACAGAGAGGACGGGAGGGAAAGGAGGGATACGGAGGATCGTCACCTCCAACAGGGCGGCGAGCACGGGGGTGCGAGCTGCAGCGTGTAGCAGTCTGAGACAGCAGCGCGTGGCGGGCTGAGCGCGGCTAGGACTGGGCCCGGGAACCCGTTGCTGGGTCTTTCCCCAGTCGGGTCAACCGGCCCTGTTGGGCCGCCGCGCGCCCTGGATCCCCCTCTGCAAAAGTGCCCACCATGACAGATGTTGGGGGGGCCGCTGGCCTGCGACGAGGTAGAAGTAGAGTGTGGAGAAAACAAATCATGCTGGGGTAATATGGCATGGTAGGGAAGCGGAAGATAGACGGGCAAGCCAAAGCCTAAGTGGATGTAGCAAGAGGGCTGCTGGTGGCGGTGGTGGCTGCGCAGCGGCGGTGGCGGTGCCTTTTCCACTTGCGCCAGTGAGGAAGGCACAAAGGCTTCTCTCTATCTCTCTCGCTCTCTCAGCTCACAGGAGGCCTCCACAGACGGCCCCAGGGTCACTCGTTTTGGTCTGGCCTGGCCAATCCCAGTGCAGAACCTGGAGCAGCCTCGCCTCAGCTCGCCTTCACGCGCACGTCACTGAAGGAAGCGGCCCGATTCCCCTGCCGGGGCACCTCGCGCTTCACGTCGGTCTCACCCCCCCCCCACCTCCGACGACTCAGCACTCTGACCTTAGTCGGTCGCAGGAGCGTCCATGCGGGCCCGCCGCCGCGACCCGCCCCCGCCCCCAAGAGCAAATGGCGCCGAAAGCCACCACGAGGCTCCCAGGGGGATCCCAAAGGGGAAGCCCTTCAGGAGGATTCTAAGGAGCCCTGAAGAGGCCCCCCACAGAGGCCACCGAAAAACAATACTGCGCCGGTGGTCCACAACCCACGAATGAGTTTCATGTGAAACCCTCCGTCCATAAGTTCCGTCTGCGCTTGACCGTTGCCGTTGGCAACACAGGCAGCAGCGGCGGCGGCCGCGTCGCTTTCGGTTGCGCTCGTCGAAGTCGACCTTGGCGAGACATGCGCTCTTGAGCTTCTCGTAGTAGATGTTAGCCGCCTGGCAAGCTGCCCGAGACACCACCACGGGTCGGAAGCACAGCACGAGAAACGCAGAAACAGAGAGAGAGAGAGGGAGACCAGATAATAAAACATCACGACATGAGAAGGAGTGCGGGGGGAGTGAGGCAGGAGCAGAAATGAGGGGAGGGAAAAGGAGGAGGACGACGACGAAGACGAGAGAGCCACGGAGCCAGGAGGGGGAGGAGGAGGAAGAGGAGGAGGAGGAGGAGGACGACGACGACGAAGACGAGAGAGCCACGGAGCCGGGAGGAGCAGGCAGGGCGAGGGACGGAGGGAGGGAGCGAAAGAGGGGAAGGGAGGAGGGGAGGCTTGGAAGCAAGCGGGAGGACGGGATCGGGAGCAAGCGGGAGGGAGGGATCGGGGGGAACAGAGAGAGAGAGAGAGAGAAAAAACAAACAAACAAAAAAAAACACAAAAAAAAAAAATGCGAGGAGGAGGAGGAGGACGAGGAGGAGGAGGAGGAGGAGGAGGAGAGAGAATGCGAGGAGGAGGAGGAGGACGAGGAGGAGGAGGAGGAGGAGAAAGAATGCGAGGAGGAGGAGGAGGAGGGGGCGGGACGCGGGGCATGCCCTCTGGAGTTTCTCGCAGCAGAGGCAGGCCGCCTCCAGCTCCCTCTGCGTCTGGTCCAGCGAGCGCCGCGTGGAGGCCTGGAGCGACTCCGCCTCCTGGGGCAGCCAAGATGACACAGCTGGCCCGCATCATAAAGATGATCGGTAAGGTTAACGTTAAGTCGGGCCTGTCCTCCTACAGGGAGATTTTAGACGAAAAATAACAAATAATCAAACAATGCCCCAACATGATCAAAAAACAAAAAAAAGTCTCCCGAATATGTTTGACTATTTTGGGATATTCCCCTTGTAGAGGAACAGGCCCGATTTAAGGTTAACTCGGGCATGTCCGTCTACAGGAGGAGTATTCAAAAATGGGAACAAAATCTGGGGACGATGCTGCGACAAGTTCTGGGTATGCTTGAACAGTTATGACTATTTCTTACTACTCCTGCAAATAATCCGCCTGTAGGAGGACATGCCTGACCGAACAATAAGGATTCAAGGGCCTTGGACGCACATTTCGAAGCTTTTCGAGCGCAGCGCTGTCAACGAAAGTGGCCAAGGGGGGGGCCGAGGAGGATAGGATGCAAGGGTACCCTTGGGAAAGATGCCCATCCTGGCCCATCCTTCTGATGCGGGTTGACTGTACCCATACCGTCACTCCCCGGACTTATCCCGAGGTGCGCCCTGACCACGACTTCGAGACGGATCCAGCGGTGGCGACGAGGGCATCCGAAGAGGTCCAAAGAGAGGGAATCGAGAGAAGAGCACAGTGATCCCTTAGAATAAGGACGCACGGAAAAGATGCAAGGGCCTTGGCAGGCCATGTCGACACTTTGCGAGCGGGGCGCGGCCAGCGAGAGCGGTCAAGGATGGGCCGAAGCGCAAGGATGCAAGGGTAACCTTCGAAAGTTGCTCATCCTTCCTATGCGAATTGACTGTGTAAAGCCCCATGGGCTTCCAAAAAGGCTCCTTAGACAGGCTGAGGGCCATGCCCACCTCCTTGCCTTGCTCACATTCTTGCTTAGGTAAACCTGGAAAGTTGCTCATTCTCACTATGTGGGTTGACTATTTCGGTATGCGTGCCCTTCCCTCCTAGGGCATGGTAGAAAATCAGCTCACGCAGCTGGTTTTCCCGGCGCATGCCCGCGCCAGGAGGCACACTTGTTCGAGGACTGGGCCCAGCGGTAGGGCGGAAACCAGCTGCATGCAGCAGCTTTCGTCAGGAGGGGAAGCAATACATCCCCCCCTTTCGTCAGCTGCCCTGCTTTCCACATCCCCCCCTTTAGTCAGGAGGGGAAGCAATACAGACACAAAGAGTCGTCGATCCCAAAGGAAACATCAGACAATCTTGAAGTGTGGGAGGGGGAAGACGAACACCCAGAAACCACATGAAAACGTATGGGGAACCCTTGGCTTCGTGACATTGTAACGTTATGTGTTTCCTCTGGGCCCCCTCTTGAGGGGGCCCAGGGACACACAAAGAAATACACACAAATCCAAATATTCCCAATACGTGTGTTGCATTTGTTTTTGATGTTTTTCTTCCCCTTCATTTTCTGGATTTTTCCATATTTTCTTGGGAATCGACGGTTAATTGTGTCTGTGCTGTTGTTCCCTCCTGACTTCCTCTCGTTCGGCCCGACCTGCTCTCCTGCGCCTTCCGCTGCTTCGCCTCCAGGGTGGTCCGGAGCACCGCCGCCTCCTGGCAAGACGCCGCCGCTGCGATACGCCGCGCTCCCGGGCACGAGTTCAGCCCTGGGGGCCCGCCCGACCCAGGCCACTGCCTATCGCGCCGAAGCCCTCGCGCTCCTCGCTAAGACAGAGCCGAGGAGGAGGAGGAGGAGGAGGAGGAGGAGGAGGAGGAGGAGGAGGAGGAAGGGGGGGATTCAGAGATTCAGATCTATTGCGAAGCGAGTCCGATATAAATTAAGACCGAGCCTCCGTCTCAGCTTTACTGAGAACTTTGGGCGTGAGGCCTTTGGCTATTCTGGCAAGGTATGCCTTGCCCGTCTTGGTCGGGGGCTTGCATTCCTTGGCGAGGCCTCTCAGCTGCTGTGAGCCGATGCACCCACCAAATCCGCAGAACCAGACTTCGAGAGGCTCGTGAAAGCTCATCTGATGAGATGGATGGACCCACCCCCCAGCGAGATGTAAACGCCGCCCTTGAGGTACCCTAACAGTGTGGCTGGTGCACCGAGTGGGTTGAAAGTATTCGGACATTAAAAACTCCCCCTTTGTTGCCGCAGTCGCGGACCCGTGACACGTCGTGCACTTCATACCGCAAGGACTGGCAGTATGAGTGGAATTGAAAAAGGCCACCGCGGCAGGAGCAGGGGGAGCGAGTCGGGGAGCACGAGCAGGAGCAGCAGGGACCCGTTTTTCCAAACGACCTGTACGCTCGAGTTCGGCAACCTCTAAAGTAGCCCGAAGCAAACGGTGGCGGATTCTGCAAGCGTCAGCCTCGATACTCAAAACACGATGCCTCTGGGTCTCTGGGACACGAGCGGCCTTGGCCGCTTCACCAGCCAAAACGTCGGCAAAGATGTTGCCTTCGATCATCCATCGGGGCACGTCTTTGGCAATGATCTCTGAAGCCTCAAGGTGAGACGGGACCCACAGGACAACAATGGAGCCAGGGTCCCGATTCTTGGCTAAAAGATCCTTGCCTATATCACGCCAGAGGTCTACATTGGCTCCTCGAGGGGCCTGAAAGAGACGGTCCCACCACCCTGCACAGACGGCGTCGTTGTCCGTCACGTAGACAAGGGGGCCGTCAGAAAACCTAAGGGCAGTGAGCAACATGTAGAGTTCCCCCCTAGCGACCGTTCGAAGGGGGCCAGGGAGGGGACCTAAAAGATACCGAACACCTTCATTGGAGCGCCATTGAGAGGAACCGACAACCGCAACCCCAACACGTCGAAGACGAGGGTCGTGGGTGTCGGGGCCTCCTGGGGCATCCCCATGCAAAACAACTGGATTATCAAGAGTGCCAACGCCGAAATACAGAGGATCGATCACCCTCGCTTCAGGAGGGGCCGACCAGGATTCCACAGGGGCGGGGGGGGCAACCTTGGTCCAGGAGGCTGGGACTAACCCCCTAAACCAAAAACATTCGTCACTGGCAGACTGAACTATCGCCTTATGACACAGCTGGTTGGAGTGCGCATATGCGGCAGAAGCGGCATCCGAATTGCACTCACATGTGTAATATCTGTGCAAAGGTGTCTCCTTATCTTTTTTGCAGCGTGGGCAGAGGTCGGACTCGGCGTAGCCTGCATCCTTCCTCCGCTCGGCAGGTCAAGCGCCTCCCACTGCGATAACCATCATGAGCTCCGCGAGGCGCCTGCCGTGTGGGAGCTGCTCCAGCTGGTAAAGGAAACGACGGTAGCTGAAATTGTCGACTCCTCCTTCCACGCCTGCACCAATATCCGTGCGAAGCAATATTCCATTGCTGTAGCTGAACTGAGAGTGTTAGTTCGTCCAAGAGGCAAGTGGCCTGGTCGATCCCTTCGAAGCCGTCTGAGAACGACCATCCGTGGGCGATGCCATCCCCCCCCGTCGGACTGTGCCATTCTGTCGGAGATGCTGGGTCCCAGTTGGCCAGAAAGAGGTAGTTGATGACAGCTGTCAAAAGACCCCTAACATGACGAAATCGACGTTGCGGGTCAATCTTACGTAGCTGGGCAACCGTCTCCTGCCAAACACGGCGCACTGGGCCACGAACACGGGGTTCGGTGAGCCAAACCTTCAACCACATGCCGATGCACTTCCTCGTCAACTGATAACCTGGGTCGTGCCCTGCCGTGCGAAGGTCCAAAAGAGTGGTGATGCACCCCCCATGTCGGCGACCGCCTGCGACAGCACCTAGACGCCGTCGCAATGCCTGGATGGATGTCTGAGGTAGGCCATGGACTTCGTGACCGTAGGTGGCCCCTGCTTGGGGACAAGCTCTCTCGACCTTCTGCAAGATCTTGAACCTCCGAGTGGAAGCTGCGAACGTGCGTACTTTGCCATGTTGCCTGCGCGTCTGCTCCATCCTCTTAGTCCGAGTAGCTCGGGCTAATCTGGGTCCGCTGCCTAAGTCGACTCCGAGATACGGGGCCTGCTTGGTGATCTGGACCGCGATGCCACGGCGGCGAAGGCGACGGACCACCTCACGTGCAGTCTTCATGTCCGAACATGTGACCACGCTCTTGGGGGCCAACTCCAGAGACTCCTCGATGAGGGCGTCGCTCACTGCCGTGATGCCGTTGACTAGAGCGTCCTCAACGGCGAGCGGGGAACCAACTGCAGACAAGGAGGGATCGTCAATCCATAGCCGTTCTGAAAGGTACGGGTTGGCCGTGGTGACAACCTCCATGACTCTGTTGGTCATGCAGCGGGCAAAGCGTGTCCCGCTCCTGAGGCCCTGGATGATGGACCGTGTAGCTTGAAAAGGTTGAGATGTCGCGTCGAACTGGGCGAGTAGCCGCGGGCCCGTGCAGACCTGCAGCTCGAGGAAGAGGACGCGCGCTGGGAAGCCGTACTTGAGGGCCCCACTCACTAGGATATCCCATTCCATCATATCATAGAAACTCTTGGTGTCACAGAGAGCGCGCCCGTTGGCCATCTTGAGGCGCCAGAAGAGTTCTTCGTCTAGCGCACGCATACATGCTTCTTTGAGGGCTGAGTTGCCCTCGATGGCTGCGCCCCAAGAGGGACATGCGTCCCTGCCCCAACTCTTGACAACGGGCTCCCGCACCAGGGACCATACACGGCAGAGAAGACATACCAGCCATATTATCCTGTCGCCTGAGCTCTTTTTTAGGGAGGAGGCGACCAAGGACAGGGAGTAGCTGCCATGGCAAGGTGCAGGATTCTTCGATCATGACAAAGAGAGAAGCGAGGGCGGCGAGCGCGGCATCGGGCAGGCGGTCTAAGACTGTCGGAGACAGCCTGTCGAGCCCCTGGCCCGCACGAGGTTTCATGCGTCGGAGGGCCCCCCTGATGTCGCCCGTCGTGATCTCGGGAAGGTCGCCTGGGAAGGTCGCCTCCTTGATTATTCTGAAAGTGGCTGAGATTGTGTCCATTGAAATATCTTGGGATGATGTCCAGAGCTTATGCCAATGCTGCGCCTTCTTGTCAATGACGTCCATCGGCTGATATATCATCCCGTCTGTCGAGTCGAGCTCGAGGGTCGGTAGAGGAGCATCATTGGTGGCTTTGAAGAGAGCCCCAGTGCCGTCACGGTCAGAAACCCACTGCTTGAAATCTGCCAATGAAGAAGCCACCGCCCTGGATTGAGCTCGATTCATGATCTTGAACAACTCTGCCCCATACATGTCAAGCTGCTCTTGAGAGATGTTCCCAAGGTCATTGAACACCGCTTGCCATGTGGCCCAGGGAGTGGCTGTCGGCTGCTTGCTGATGCTGTATGCTGTACTCGCTGGGGCCTGGCCGATGAGTTTGATCCCGCACTCTACGAGGGACCTGACTTGGGCGGTGCCGTTGGCTCGACGTCGATGCCGAGCCGTCTTGGTAAGGATAGTGTGGGCTCTGGCCGACCACGAGGCCACCACGTCGAGGTACGGCATGTCTCGTAGGTGCTCTGACTGTCGAGCTCGACGCACCGCCAGCTTGGGACCTGAGGCCCTGGTGACAGCCGAGCTTTTGCTGTCCTGCTGGCGATGCTGGCGACGAGCTCGAAACGTGTGTTCCACAGCGGAAATCCATGAGCTGAAGGCACTGCTGACCTGCATCGCATATTCGCCGCCCACATGAAAGGCAACTGAAGCACGAACTGGCGACCAAACCTCGGAGAGTGTTTGGGGCTGAAAGCCGGCTTCAGTTTGAGCCGAGTGCCACGGGGCTGCGGGGATGGAGAACGAAGCAGGAGCAGTGGCATCAGCAGCGGAGCTGGGATCGGGGTTAGGGTCCTGGGGCGTCTCGCTGGGGGGGGCCTTAATATCATTCTCTGCCTCGTCCATCCCCAGTGGGGCGGGGTCGGTCAGCGAATTCACATCGGGCAGGACCTCAGACGAAAACGGGTCCCCAGACGGAGGAGGGGGGGAGGAGGGGGGCTCCACGAAATTGGGGAGGTCGGCCCAGGGATCGATTTCCTCTCCCCAGAGACCGAAATGGCAACCAGACACAACTTCAGGGTCCTGGAGGAGGTCTTGACCTGGCACAGCTGTATCATTGGGCCTGGCTGGGTCAGCTCCTTCCTCCTGGACAGCGTCAGCAGATTTGCCAAGAAGGTCTCCGTGCAATTCCTGAGCAAAAGCGGCATGTTTATTGCGGGCGGTCGCCTGGCGTTCGACCAAAGCAGCACGGGCGCGCGAGGCCTTGGAACCAGGTCGGCTCTCTGTCCTCGGTCGCTGGACCTGAGGGAAACGCTCAGGGAGGAGGAGGGCACGAGTGAGGAGCTGTTCCCCTTGCCCTCTCAGTTGGAGGGACAATGCAGAATGAGGCTTCCATGGGACATCGGTGACCACATGAAGGCCTAGGATGTACGGGAGAGCAGACTGGGAGGCTACTGCATAGTCGATCAGGCTTGACCCACCTGCACCTATACACGTGAAATCCGAAAGCGGTTTGACGACGGTCCCCCCGACCTTAGTGAGGAAACCACTGGCCTCCAGGACCGAGGGGGAACAGTTAAAACCCCAGAGGATGATCCTGGGAATCTTGAGCATCTGAAGGAGGGCTCCGACTCTGGCAAACCCACGCAGATTGTCGTCTGCGAAGCCTGTGGGGCAGAGCCCGTGCAGGGTGATAAGAACAATGCTGAAACCCTGGAGGTTGAGGATGACAGGGAGGAAGCCGTCATAGCTCCTGGAGCCGTCGGCGCAAAGGGGAGGGACGGGAAACTGGGCTCGGGAGAGGTGGTGAACCTGCCGATGCCCCCCACATAAGAAAAGCTCACCACCCTCGTTGGCACGCATTTTACCTGGCGCTGTCAAGCATTGCCTGCCCGTCTCACGAGCACAATTGATGAAAGATTTGAACTTACTCGAGCGAAACCTCTTCTCCCATTCGAGACGCGAGCCCTTGCCAACATGTGCCTCGCACAAAGAGAAATATTGGTAGGCTCCGCTTTGCTTCAGATGCTGAATACACTTCCAACTCCGAGGCCCTAGAATCGTGATATTACTGAAAAAGACTTGCACGACCGAACACTCCCCAGCTGACGGTTGGCCGCTTGTCTGAGAAAATGCCGACTGCCGCTGCGCAGTCGCCTGGGCATCAGAGCACGCGGTGCCTACGGTCTCACTCCTGCCTGCAGCTAGCGCCGCCGACGTCGGCGAATATGCCGAGGGAGAGGACGCTGATGCCGTCCGCCCTGGAGCAGACCTGGTAGAAGGAGATGTGGACTGCGACGCAGTCCCTGTTGACCCACTGGTTGATGCTGACGAGCAGGCGGGCGACTGCACGTCGTGGCTGCCCCCGTCACTGGGGGACGGTAGCTGTCATGCTGATGCCGCCGTCGAGGCTCCTGGTGCTCCACTCTCTGGCGAAGCAACGGAAGCCAACGCAGCCTTGGTCGCCTCCTCGGCGGCCTTCTGCTTGGCGGCCCTGATGCGGTTGATCTCCTTCTGGATCTCCGCCTCCTGAGCCTCTGTCTTGTCAGTCTGGTCGCCGCTGCCGTCGGCGCAGGGTGCGCCACTAGCAACATTGCCCGAAGGAGCCGTGGGCGAGGACGGGGCAGCTGGCCCTGTCGGGACACCCTGGCCCTCCTGACCCTTCCTCTTCTTGGCCATGCGCGCGCGGATGCCGTTCTGCATGTCGAGCATCTTGGCCCTCCACGCTGTGACCTGCTCGCTGCGCGTCTGGAAGAGGCCCTTGGTGTCTTGGAGCTCCGTCTGGAGCCGCTTGAGCTCGACCCGCTCGCTCTCCTCGCAGTCGAACTCGCCCGCGTCCAGCTGGTCGAAGAACTCCTGGTCCCAGCTGATGGAAAACATCGTGGACTCGCCGCCGTCGGCGCTCCCGTCCTTCTGCGGGGACTCCGACAGCTTCGTGAAGCCCAGGCCCACCTCGGACGCCAGGGCCCTCGCAGCAACACGCTTGCCCAGCTCGGCGGCGGCCAATTGTCGAACAGTCTCCTGTTCGCGCTGCAAGGCCCTCTCGAGCTGCTCTCTGCTGCGGGCGACCTGAGCACATGCCTGGTCGTGCTTGGTGTTGGCGTCGCGCCATGCCCCTTCCGCGCGCCTGACCGCCTCGGCTGGGGACGGCTGGTCGGCTGCAGAAGGAGCCTGCTGCTGCCGCAAGGCGGCAGTGAGCGTAGCCTTCAGCACGGGGTCCTGCACCAAAGAGATGGCCTGGGAGAGCACCTGCGCCTGCGAGGCTTTGGACGGCTGCAGGGCGAGCGCCAGCTGGTCATTGAACCCATCCTTGGCCTTGCCCTTGCCGCCCTTGCCTTTGCCGCCAGCGCCGCCGTCGCTCTTGGACTTGTGCAGCTTCACCTGGCGGTTGCACTTGCCGCAGCGAAAGGCATTGCACTCCAGCGCATCGTTGTATTCGTGAGTGTGGCACGCCTTGCAAGTGCTCCATGGCCGAGACATGAACCGTAGCAAAAATTCTGCCCATATTCGCCGCGAGGAGCGCCTTTGCACTAGGCTAAGGTGGCCTCGCGCCCCCCCAAGCACCCACTGGACGGTTCTGGGCTCCCGGTCGGGCAAAATGCTCGAGCCGAGGTTGCTTGAGGGAGGAGGAAGGGGGGGGGAGGAGGGGGGGGGGGAGGAGGAGGAGGAGGAGGAGGAGGAGGGAGGAAGGAGGAGGAGGAGGAGGAGGAGGAGGAGGAGGAGGAGGAGGGAGGAGGAGGAGGAGGAGAGGAGGAGGAGGAGGGGGAGGGGGGAGGAGGGAGGAGGAGGAGGAGGAGGAGGAGGAGGAGGAGGAGGAGGAGGAGGCCAGGACGAGGATTGGATTGCTCCCATCGCACTTCAGGACCACATGCCGAAAACAATTTCTAGATTTTGGGAGAGTATCGAAACAGTGCCGAGAAAGAGTATCGCATCCCAGGGCCCTCAAATTTGGGTACTTCCTTGGTGCTCGAAATTGTTTCTAGTGATCACGGCTAAAAAGTAAGTCGGAACATCAAAAGACAAGGATACATTCGGGCGAGGACAAATCGAGAATCTCTGAAATCCGGCGGCCCTGGAGGATGTCTCGTGCGCCGCGACCTTCTCGGAGAGATCCCGAACGCTCTGGCAGCGTTCCGGAACGGATTACAGCCAACCCGTATCATCAGGACGCGCAATAAGGATGCAAGGGCCTTGGAGGGCCATGTTAACGTGTTCCGAGCGAGGCTGGCCAGCGAAAGTCGCTAAGACTGGGCCGAGAAGGAAGGGGCGAGGATGCAAGGGTGCCCTCAAGAAAATTGCCCATCCTTACTGTGCGGGTCGGCTGTCATCCTCGTGATCGCACCGCCCGATCCAGGCCACTGACGCTCGCGCCTCGCGACTTGCGCCGAGGTCCTTGTGTCCCTCGCGCCGCCCCCCTGGACACGATCGGGGGGGCACAAGAGGGCAGGATAGCAAGGGGCAGGGTAGAGAATCAGCTCACCTAGCTGGTTTTCCTGGCGCCGGGAGGCGCCCACGTAGAAAGGAACGGGCCCGGCGGCGGGCCGAAACCAGCTGCATGCAGCAACTTTCGTACCCCCCCCCCCTTTCCCATTCCCCCCCCTTTCGTCAGGAGGGGAAAAACACAGACACAAAGAAACGACGATCCCCAGGATATATAGATATGTATATATATATATATAGATATAGGAAACTACGGGAAGTGTGTGTGTGTGGGGGGGGGCAGATGAGCATCCAGAAAATATGGCACAAGATTGGGAATCCTTGGATTCTGCGCTTGTGCATCTGTGCCTTGCCCCTCCGCCCGGCCCGAGGAGAGCGCCCCTCTGGCCGAGACTGCGACGCGGCGCGGCAGGACCCACACGGCGCCCCGAGGCCCTCGCTGTCGCGCGCCGGCTGCGCCAGAGGGCAGGGCACGCCCCTGCGGCCAAGGCCGCGAGCCGCGCACAGCTCGCGGTCGCGCTCGGGCGGCCTGGCCTGTCCGCCAACCTGGCCTGGCCAGGGGGGCACAGAAGTGGGCCGGGCATGTCCCCCTGCAGAGGGATCTTGGACGAAAGACCAAGAAGACTCCAGACAGATTCACAAATAGGTCCAGGAACGGTGGGACAGTGGTCCCCGAACTGGTTGTTCGACCAGTTTTGCAGACTCCTCCAGTAGAGGGCCGTGCCCGACTTGATTAGGCATGGAGCCCTCGTGCTCCAAGGAGGAACGCCGAGTACGGTTCGAAAGGGCATCTCTGGCCACGGCGAGCCCCGTCCGCGAATCGCCCCACCGAATCAAAACCGAACGAAGTGCCCCAGAAGCCCGAGCCCCTCCTGAGCCCAAGGAGGTCCTTCCCGCGCACGCCGACCCTGTGCCCATTGAGCAGGGACCGACCGTCCCGGCATTCCCACAGGCATACCACGACATGTTCTTAGAACCCCCAAAACAGTTCCAAGAACCGAAGCACCGTTCTTAGACACACAGACCAGATGTGTTCAAACGAGACAGCCTCGAGCAGAAATGTTATGGGAACACCTCGTGCCAACCACAAAAGGTACTTAGAACACTCCTCGGTGGGCCTGTAGGCAAGCCAGGACGCACCGCCGCCGCTTGAGCTGGGGCCCAGGATGGCCCCCGCCGGCATCGTTGTGACTGCACGGTGGGCGCCCGGCGGCGTCCCTATCGGAGTCGGCGGCGAACTTCTTGTACGCGGCGACGGCCTCCATCTCGGCGGTCTCCGCCGTGACCTGCTGGTGCTCGAAGTCCGCCTGGACCACCTCGGGCCAGTCCGGCTCGGGACTGCGCACAGAGAGCCCCGGGAGGTGATGCGACGAAGCGGTTTTTGCACAGCAGTTAGAATGAGTTTACGACTGTTCGCTCTTGTCTGCTCGCGCGCCACTCAAAGCATCTCCCAAGATCTCGGCACCCGCCCTCTTGGCCTTCGATCGTACTCTCTTGGGGGTGTATCTTGCTTACAACACGCGTATTTAGCGCAGCTCCTGAAATTGAGGAAGATAGGGCGAATGGAAGGGGGAGGGAGACGGATGGAGCACGAGAGGGATTGGCAGAAGGGGGGCTAGGACCAGAAATCGCGTGGCAGAACCGGACGGGCAGATCGGGCGGGTAGACCCTAACGGGCGGGTCGGGAAGGCGGGCCCAGGCAGGCAGGTCGAGCAGGCGCGTTGCTGAAGCGTCAATCCAAAATGAATTGCAAGGAAATCTCAAGCGATAACGCGATTCTTAATTTACGGGCGCAGCCCGTAATTTGATTCTCGCGAGGTAGACACTGACAGACTGAACTGAACCACGAGGCCGTCAGATGGCAGTTTTATTTCCGCGGGTGAGGATATTTCGGGTGGCAGTTTTAAGCCAGCTGGTGAGCATATTTCGGTGGCAGTTTTAAGCCAGCGGGTGAGAGGATATTTCGGTGGCAGTTTTAAGCGCCAGCGGGTGAGGATGTTTCGGTGGCAGTTTTAAGCCAGCGGGTGAGGATATCTCGGGTGAGGATATTTCGGTGGCAGTTTTACGCCAGCGGGTGAGGATATCTCGGGTGGCAGGTTTAAGCCAGCGGGTGAGGATATCTCGGGTGGCAGTTTTAAGCCAGCGGGTGAGGATATCTCGGGTGGCAGTTTTAAGCCAGCGGGTGAGGATATTTCGGTGGAAGTTTTAAGCCAGCGGGTGAGGATATCTCGGGTGAGGATATTTTGGTGGCAGTTTTAAGCCAACGGGTGAGGATATTTCGGGTGGCAGTTTTAAGCCAGCGGGTGAGGATATTTCGCGTGGCAGTTTTAAGCCAGCGGGTGAGAGGATATTTCGGGTGGCAGTTTTAAGCGCCAGCGGGTGAGGATGTTTCGGTGGCAGTTTTAAGCCAGCGGGTGAGCATATCTCGGGTGAGGATATTTCGGTGGCAGTTTTACGCCAGCGGGTGAGGATATTTCGCGTGGCAGTTTTACGCCAGCGGGTGAGGATATCTCGCGTGGCAGTTTTAAGCCAGCGGGTGAAGATATTTCGGATGAGGATATTTCGGGTGGCAGTTTTATGCCAGCGGGTGAGGATATCTCGGGTGGCAGGTTTAAGCCAGCGGGTGAGGATATCTCGGGTGGCAGTTTTAAGCCAGCGGGTGAGGATATCTTCGGGTGGCAGTTTTAAGCCAGCGGGTGAGGATATTTCGGTGGAAGTTTTAAGCCAGCGGGTGAGGATATCTCGGGTGAGGATATTTTGGTGGCAGTTTTAAGCCAACGGGTGAGGATATTTCGGGTGGCAGTTTTAAGCCAGCGGGTGAGGATATTTCGCGTGGCAGTTTTAAGCCAGCGGGTGAGGATATCTCGGGTGGCAGTTTTAAGCCAGCGGGTGAGGATATTTCGGTGGCAGTTTTAAGCCAGCGGGTGAGGATATTTCGGTGGCAGTTTTAAGCCAGCGGGTGAGGATATCTCGGGTGGCAGTTTTAGGCCAGCGGGTGAGTATATCTCGGGTGAGGATATTTCGGTGGCAGTTTTAAGCCAGCGGGTGAGGATATTTCGGGTGGCAGTTTTAAGCCACGATGCACAAGTCCCAGGGCATGACAATTCCTTGTGTTGCTGCAAACTTGGGCGACACGGAAATGCATCTGGGCGGTACGTTTACCGTCTTGTCTCGGGTGCCTGCCTTGACTGGTCTTGCTTTGGAACGTGGCTTGAATTTCGACCGGTTGGCCAAGATCAACCAGAGCCGGTCTTTGTTGGCACGGAAAGAATACGAAGCTGCGAAATGGCCACCGCTCGAAGCCAATGCGCTTCGACATTTTCAGTCGGTCCTTGCAGAGCTGTTGCTGAAACGGGGGTCTCCCGAAGCAGCTGTGCTGGACACGATCGGCGGCTTGGCCGAAACAGCAGCTGAGCAATTGTCACTGCCTGACTTCACTGCGGAACTGTGAGCACTTTCTAGGGTGGAAACGCTGCGCAATCATCGTGGCGGCGACGGCCGGTGCCATTTCTACCATAATTTCTACCGGGAGAGTGCGGAAGGGCTCTCGCACGGGGGCGGCTTGTGCAGTTTGAGCAGAGATGGCACCCACGACGAAGAGGAGGGGGCAGGAGCAGGAGGAGGAGGAGGAGGAGGAGCATGATGATGATGATGATGATGATGATGATGATGATCATGATGATCATGATGATCATGGTGCTGATGCTGAGGAGGACGATGATGATGATGATGATGATGATGATGATGATGATGAGGATGAGGATGAGGATGAGGATGAGGATGAGGATGATGACGATGAGGATTATGACGGCGGGGATGAGGCGATGGAAGGAGGACGAGGGAGGAGGAGGGGTGGAAGGAGGGCACGGAGATCGTGGAAAGGGTGCTCGCAAGGAGAGTGGCAAGGGGAAGAGGAAGGCGCTGGACGAGGAGGCCGACGAGGAGGAAGGAGGCGGAGGACAAGGCAAGAGGCGGCGGGAGGAGGATTTCATTGAAAATGGACGACGGGGGGGGGGGGAGATCAGCTCGAGGGCGGAGGACGCGGACGGGATGAGGAGGCGGCAGAAGGGAGGAGGAGGTGGAAGTGGAGGAGTCGTAGGAGGAGGAGGAGGAGGTGGAAGAGGAGGAGGAGGAGGAAGAGGAGGGAGGAACCGAGAAGAGCTCTGTGCTCGGCGCGGGCATCCAGCCGCCACGCGATGCATCATCTGCATGGTCGGCCCAGCCGACGGCTACGCCTCCAGCGAGGTGCTGCGCCCGTATATATGCTCGCCCCTTGGCGTGGGGCTGGCGGGGGGCCAAGGGGCGAGCTGTCCGGTGATTAAATCCTGAGGAGATCCACAGCGAGAGCATGATTCCTGAATTCAAGGGTCACGGCGCGGCAGTACCTCGTGAGGAAGTACCACGCGAGAGCGCGATACCTGCATACATTTTGAGGGCGTCCCGCGAGAGAGCACAAACTTGGAATAAACTATGAGAAAGTATCAAGCGGAAACGATTTTTGTTGTTGTTGAGTGTTAACAACTATTAATGTTCGACCCCCCCTTGGGCCTTGGCGCTCTCGCCTCGGCGCCGGCCACATTTGCATTGAATATGAGGCTCACGCTTAAGCGGTTTCAGGGGGCGCCAAAGACTGCCCCCAAACAACAATTCCCGCTCGGGTCTTCCCCCATTTTTGCTCAGGGCCGGTGCTCTTGCTCGCCGCCGAAAACCGCCGTCTCGACAAAACCAACGCTCCCGCCCGAGACCTCCTCCCGTTTTACGATGGACTGGCGCGCTACTTGTTCTCTCATCGGCGCCGCCTCCTGCAACGACAACGCTCCTGCTCGAGACGTCCTCTTTTTTTTATCCAAGGCGGTGCCCCTCCTCCCCGCCAAGAGCAGCCGTCCCGACGCTCCCGCTCGAGAAATCCTCCATTTTTCCTCCGGACGGTGCTGTTCCTCGCCGCCGACCGCCCCCGTCCCGACAAAATCACGGCTCCCGCTCGAGTCTTCCTCCCTTCTTACGCAAGGCGGTGTTCCCCCTCGCCACAAGGCGGTGTTCCTCCTCGCCGCCGACAACCGCCGTCCCAACAAAACCAGCGTTTCCGCTCGAGACTTGCTCACGTTTTACGGTGAACTGGCGGGCCACTTTTTCTCTCATCGGCGCCGCCCCCGGCAACAACCACGCTCCCGCTCGAGACATCCTCCCTTTTTTACTCAAGGCGGTGCTCCTCCTCGCCGCCGAGAACCGCCGTCCCGACAAAACCAGCGCTCCCGCCCGAGGCTTCCTCCCGTGTTGCGCCAGACTGGCGCCGTACTCTCTCATGAATTTGCGCCGTTCCCACCAAGAACAACGCACCCGCTCGAGGCATCCTCCCGTTCTCATCAGGACGGTGCTGTCCTCGCCGCCGACCGCCCCCGTCCCGTCGAAACCACGGCTCCCGCTCGAGACTTCCCCCCCTCTTACTCAAGGCGGTGTTCCTCCTCGCCGCCAGCAACCGCCGTCCCAACAAAACCAGCGTTCCATCTCGAGGGTTCGTTTTGTTTTGCGCTGGACTAGCGCCCAGCTCTCTTCAGCATCGGCGCCACTCCCAGCAACAACAGCGGCCCTGCTCGAGACTTCCTCCCTTCCTATTGAGGACCAGGTCCTTGCCTCGCCGCCGACAGCCCCCACCCCCACCAAGGCATTCCTGTCGCTCGATATTTCTTTGTGCTTTACCCTTGGCTGGGACTCCACTGGCGGTCATGCATCGGCGCAGCTAGGCGCGAGCATGCGTTTTCGAGGCGGGATATGCTGAAAATCCTCGGAGGTGTTTGCAAGACCTCACTCGGCGAGAGATCTGGGAATGGGAATAACGGACCCCGCTATAGAACAATAATCGCCCATGATGGGGATGATGATCATGATGGTCGCATGCTTCGTGTGGAAACATCGCGCATGAGGGTAAAATGACTGTTGTAGTTGTTGTTGTTGTTGTTGTTGTTGTTGTTGTTGGTGTTGTTGTTGTTGTTGCTGTTGTTGTTGTTGTTGTTGTTATTGTTATTGTTGTTGTTGTTGTTGGTGGTGTTGTTGGTGTTGTTGTAACTCGGCGCCCAGAGGCGCACTCTGAGCCTCGAGGCATTGCCTTGCAAGAAGGCAGGGTGCGAGCCCCGGGAGGAGCACTTGAACTGCGGGGTGGATCAACAAATGGGCAGCCAGGAATCAACCACATAGTTGTTGCTCAACTGGGTCGCTGTCCGCGGCCCCGCGGCCTCGCAAGCGACGACGACGAAGACGACGACGGCAAGCGACGAAGCAAGAATAGCTGTTGAGCGTCCGCTTCCAGGTAGGGCGCCGCGACCCCCTGCACCTCTTCATCGCTTGGCCGCAGCAGTCGGTGGCTGGCCTCAACAGGCCAGGCGGCCCCATGACCCTGCCTAGGGCCTGGGCGCGAGCTGCTGGTAAGGGGGGGGGGGCACTGAGTGGGGAGGAGGGCAGCGAGAGAGGAATGCAGAAAGGGGCCCTGTATGTCCCCTGGAGGAGCCCCTTCAGGGCCCCAGAGGGGGCCTTCCGGGCCAGCCAAAAAGGAGCACCGTTCCCACCTCGCTTATCTCCCCCCATGAACTTTAGATCGGGCACGTCCTCCTACAAGCGGATTTTGGAGGAAACTAAAAAAACAGTCATAACAAATACTCAAGACAGATCAGATATGGTCGAAGAATCGTCCCCATTTTTTTTAATTCGCCGGCCCAACGGGCCAGAGGCGTGCTAAGATCTCCGGTAACTGGTTAACAATATTTCTAGTTTGCGTGCGCGGAGCGGCCCCTGGGAGCCCCCGAACGAAAAATACCCCGGCAAGGTCCCGGGAGAAACCCCCAGAGCACTCCAGGGAAGGGCCAATTTTCGACACCCCTCACGAGGATCGTGGCCTCCGAGGGGGGAGCCGCAATCGACTACCCTCCCTCCCGCCCCAAGAGGCCCCCAAAAGCCCCCCAAGAGGCCCTGGGGGCCCCCAAGACGCCGCCAAGGAGCCCCAAGAGACTCCCAAGAGGTCCCCAAGAGGCCCCAAGAGGCCCCAAAGAGGGCTTCAGGGCCGGCGCAATGAGCGAAGCGATTAAATGAGTAACAAAAACTATAGTTGAATACTCTTGCTGTGGAAGGGCGTGCCCGACTAAACATTAATTCGCGCCGTGTAAGCCCCGGGGGGTCTGCATCTCTGCAGCGAGCATGGGGGCCGTGGCAGTCCGGGCGAAGCAGTTCGAGAGTTCGAGGGCCGAGTTGGGACGAAACTCACGCGGCGGCCGGGAGGATGGCCGAGGTGCGGGGCCTGAAGGATGGCCGCGGTGCGGGGCTGGGAGGATGGCCGAGCTGGTAACCTGCCACAAGGTGCGCGACCGTCCTGGACCCCCTGGTGCTTACAATTCGCGCCCAAGAGACACCGCCAAAGCCGACGCCGGGGAGACCCCAGAACGACCCGCACTGCCCTGCACAAGGCCCGCTGAAGCCAACCGCTGGGAGCCAACCGTCGCGCAGGGGCCATCCGCGCGCGCAAAGGCCGGGCCATGCCGCCTCCTCCTCCTCCTCCTCCTCCTCCGCCTCCTCCTCCTCCTCGTCCTGCCGCCTCCAGCATGGCGAGGACGCTCGCCGACTGGCCCTGGCCCCTGTACGAGGAGGTCCAGGTCTCTGGCGCGTCCTCGGTCGGCGACTGCCCCGACCTCGCCTCCTGCGTGAGCGACGTGGCCTCCGCGCTGCGCTCGTAGAAGTCGCGCAGCACTGCCAGCGCCTGCGCCACGGCGCTCTGTCCCTCCTTGGCCTCCTCCACGGCCTTCTCGTGCTCCGCCTTCTCGCCTGCGCGCTCCTCGGTCGCCGTTGCCAGCGCGGCGGACAGCTGTCCGATCTCCTCTTGAATGTCCTCGACGTCCTGCGCCAGCCTGACCCTCTTGTTCTCCAGCCTGTCCAGCTCGGCGGCCGCCTCGTCCGCGGCCTCCGCCTTGTCCCGCCGGGTGAGAGCGTTGGTGCCCATCTCCGTGTCGCACCAGCCCTCGTGCTCCGCCATGGCGTGCAGCTCCTCCATCATCCTGCGAGGGGCAACGATAGGGGGGGGCTGGCCTTAGGGGGGGGATGCATCGACCTGGAATCGGCGATACGTCGCCGACAGATCGACGATAGGCCTCCGATGTTGACTCCGCACCTTCCTGGGCAGGCTGGGGCCATCGGAGCCCTATCGGCGAGCAGTGGGCGATCGGGTGTCGATGTGTCACCCCCTGTGCCTGTCCCCCCCCAATCGTTGCCCCTGATCCTGGTGATGAGGTCCCGGATCATCTTCTTCACCTTGCGGCGCGGCGCGCGGACGAGGGCCGGCGCGGAGGGGGCGGTGCCCGCAGACGCCGGGGGAGGAGGCGGAGGAGGAGGGGGAGGGGGAGGAGGAGGGGGAGGAGGAGGAGGAGGAGGAGGAGGAGGAGGAGGAGGAGAACGGGAGGGCCTCTCAGACGCCGGGGAGGCCCATCCCAGATGGCTCCCCCCCTCGCGCGAAGGCCCCAAACGCAGGTACGCTCGATCTGGGTCCCCGGACGCCCTCCGAGGGTCCGCCCTGGCCGCGTCCTCTGAGCCGCGTCGAGCCGGAGAGGCCACAGGAGGGCGACGAGACGAGGAGGAGTGGGGGAAGAGGTCTGCTGCACGCACGCGCGGCCCTGGGCCCTTCGGTACGCGGCTCTCCAACTTTCTGCATGCGATGCGGCAATAGCCCGCATATGCTCTGGCTCGGCCCCGCCCCGCCCCCCGAGAACTGCGCACCGAAGGCCGCTCCCGTGTACACCCGGAATGGGCACGGAAGCACGGGCACAGTGCCCAACAGCAGCAAAACGAGCAGTGCCCGCTGTTCGGCAGGAGACTGGTTGTGCCAAGTGGGCCACACCCGTGGCGACACCGACTCCGATTCCTGCTAAGAATGGGCAACAACTGATGTCCGTCTTCGTCACCGTTCTTTCCGTGCCCGTTCCGAACCTCCAGAACTTTTGCGAGGGGTTACCGTTACATGTAGCCAAGGACGGCATGTACGAAGAGACCTCCCAAATGGGGTACCGGTAGATGGGGTCGAAGGATCGTGCCGCGTCGGCAACGTCGGCGATGCATCGGCGACGTCGGCGTATGGAATATGAGAAGAAACAAACTGCATAAAGATTAACTTTCGGAGGTCTGCGCGGAGCTCCGAACATTTATGTCTGTGCAAATTATTATTCGAAAGTCGACTAGGATCCACATCGCCCCGGATCGCAGATGCATGGGCGGTGCGGCGAGACCCTCAGACTCGACCCCATCCTTTCGGACCCAATCCAGGAAGCCTGCAAAAACATGCACCGTCAAGCTGCTATCATACAAAGGAGCGCTACATGGGGAACAGAGCCCCCGCTTAGCAATGAAAGCGCCGGCGTGGACGACGAGCGCCAGAGACACAGCCATGCAAGGACCCAAGGATTACGTCGGGCATGTCCCCCTACAGGCGGATTTTGGAGGACAAATAAAACATAGTCGAAACGTATTCACCAATAGCCGAACAGACTAGAAAAAAGCCTCCCCTGACGAGTTGCTGAATATGTCTGAGTAGAGGGACATGCCCGAATGAACCCAAGGAACATCGAGCCCCTTCCGAACCCGACCTGTTCCTACATAGGCTAGCGCCTCGACCCCCCCGACTGTAGCCGAGGAAGAGCGCGCGCGCCGCCAGACCTTCGAGAAGGGGTCCTCCTCTGGGGAAGCCAAAGAGCACCGATACCGCGAATCCCAGGATTTCGAGGAGAATCCAGGCGCCCCCCTCCTCCTCCTGCCTCCTCCCCCTGCTTCTCCTCCTCCTCCTCCTCCGCTGCTCCTCCTCCTCCTCCTCCTCCTCCTCCTCCTCCTCCATCCTCCTCCCTCCTCCTCTCTCCTCCTCCCTCCTCCTCCTCCTCCTCTCCTCCTCTCCTACTCCTCCTGCCGCCTGCTTCTCCTCCTGCTCCTCCCTCTCTTCTCCTCTCCTCCTCCTCCTCCTCCCTCCTCTCCTCTCCTCCTCCTCCTCCCCTCCTCCTCCTCCTCCTCTCCTCCTCCTCCTCCTCCTCCTCCTCCTCCTCCTCCTCAGCCTCCTCCTCCTCCTCCTTCTCCTCCTCCTCCTCCTCCGCCTCCTCCTCCTCCTCCTCCTTCTCCTCCCCGGGTGCGCTCTGACTAGCAGTCCGAGAAGACTCCCGTGGTAGCGACGATGGCCTCCTCAGAGGCCGAAAGAGGGCCAAGCGGGGAAAGAACTGCGTGTGTTTGAAATTGGATTCGGCTGAATAAACTGCGTGGTTTTGAAGCCCGATCCGGTTTCAAGAAAAAAACGTGTTGTTGAAGCCAAACCCGGCTTCAAAACCTGCGTGATTTTGAAGCCGGATCCGGCGTCAAAAACATGCAATTTTCAAGCCGGACCCGGCTTTTGGCAAGCCGGATCCGGTTTCAAAACAATTGTTTTTGGAAGCCGGACCCGGCTTCAAAAACACGTACAGTCAACCCGTGAGTAAGGATGCACGATAAGGATGAAAGGGCCTTGGAAAGCCCGCCCCAAGGGTACCCTAAGGGGCTGGCCAGCGGAAGCTGCCAGGGATGGACCGAAGGGGCAAGGATGCAAGGGTAACCTAGGACAAGTTGCCCATCCTTACTCCGCGGGTTGACTGCAGCAGTCGCGGTACTTTTTCCTCCTCTGATCCTTGGCGCTCCTCGCCGCCGCAGCCAGGTCGCGGCTGCCGAGAGCCGCGGCTCGCGCGGCGAGCATGGATCGGCGGCTCCGGAGGGCGTGGTCTGCAGTGGGCGTGGCTTGCAGCCGGCATCCTGGGAGGACACCCTGGGGGAAACTGGAAGAAATACTTGCATAAACGTACAGTCGGACTTCATTTCACAGGACACGCGAGAGGACACGAGCTCCTTCCGAGGGCCACATTGCCACAGGAATATGGGAAGCATGTGTCGCGAGACACAGGACACAAGGGTACCCTTGATTGGAAGGGTCGACCTACTAATCCGGGCCGACTGTAAACGTTTGGGGCTCCCCGCGGGTTTCTTGGATCTGCGCTGGACCCCCCCCCTGACGCGCGGAGCGCGCCAGGGGCGGCACTGGAGACGCCACCAGGGGGTGGAAACGCAGATCAAGAACTCGGAGCGGAGCGCTAGAAGTGTATGTTTATGGCCTTTTTTATCCGAGGCACCCTGGGCGTTCTCCGCCGAGCTCCGAGGCGGCCCGACGACGACGGCGTCGTGCGCCCCGGTCAAAACATGTTAAACAAGTACCCAAAACATTAGCAAAACTGCCCCCCGAGCATGTTCTGACTACTTTGGAACATTCTCCCTGTAGAGGGACGCGCCCGACTTAACCCCAGCCCCCCACGGCGCCGATCGCAGACCACACCCCGGCGTAGATCATTGCACCGACCTTGCAGACGTGCTGCAGCGGATTGCTGGCGTGGATCTCCGGCAATGCAGCGACCCCGAAACGGCGAAAGAAAACGACGTGAGTGTCGCGTGGATTTGTTCAGTTTTCACTGCTGGCCCCAAAAATTTGCACGAAATTAACCTCCAAATCTAAGGATAAAGCAAACCTACCTCGCTTTTGACCACCCTCGCTTCCAAGAGATACCAAGCGATGCCAAATTGCAGCCTGTACTGGTCAGGCCGCTTGACGAGGAGGCGCGTGGTATGGCTTGGTTTTGCCCGGAAGCGAAAGCGGGGTAGGTAATTCACGCTCTGAATTAACCTCCAAATCTGGAACGAAATTCTCCAGGACCCTTGAGGCCCGTCCTATCGGCTTCCGAACGGAATCCGCTCTGCGATGTTGGCGCAAGGACCTAATGGCCACACCCCCTGCAGCCGCCGAACTGGACGCCGCCCGCTGCTGCTCGGGCCCCGCCCCGCCGCCGCGCCCGACCTGCACGAGAGCCACCCCGGGGCTGGCCGCAGCGGCTGCCGGCTCCTGAGGGGCAACGTCAGCGGAGAGGCCCAGGGACGCACAAACGAGTACAGTGCTGACCAGTCCACAGGAAAGCTTCCACAAGAAGCCCAATCCTGAGATCCCCAGGACGTCCATTGATTTGTGGTGTGTGAACGCCGCGCTGTCCACAGCACAACCATCGAAACCCAAGAAACACAGAGCACCCTTGAGGCAAGCAGGGTGCTTCTTGGCATGGGTTGCCACTGTAGACACAGCTACCAGGCTTCCCCATCACTTTTTAATAGTTTAGGGGTGTTCGTCTTCCCCTCCTCCACTTCCCATAGCTTCCCAGTAGTTTACGGGGAATCGGCGTCGCCTTGTGTCTGTGTGCTGCTGAGCTAGGAGGAGCCAGAGCTCAGGGGGGAAGCTAACTGTTGAGGTTCGAGGCCTGAGGTGTTCGGGCGTGCTCGTTGGTCCTCGGCGGCGTCCTGGCTTCTGGATGCCTTCCGGTGGCTGCGCCTCGGCGACAGCGCTGTGGAGGTTTCCCGGCTCATCCCCAACGGCCGCCGGAGGCCCAAGCTATGACCCGAGATCACCGGCAGACTGGCTCGAGGGGAGAAGCATCGAACTGGAACCGGCACTACATCGCCGATAGCTCGGCGACGGGGCCCAGGATAGCGAATACAGTCAGGCCCCGATAGGCGTGCATGGGCGATTGGGGGTCGACGCATCCCTCCCATGCAGCCTGTCCCTCCCTGACGTTGCCCCCGAGCTCCGCCGGGAAGCTGCCCGTCAAGACCTCGACGGCCTTCGCGAGCGCCTGGCTCTCCTCGGCGCGGATCTTCTGCCGCGCCTCGAAGTCCAGGGCCTTCTGCGCGCAGAGGCCGCGGAGGTCCCCCAGGTACTTCTGGTCGTCCGCCAGTGCGACCTCCAGCTCCACCTCTAGACAGCCGAGAAGACGCCCTCAGAATAAGCACCCCGACGAGCGATGCATTCTAGTAGGCGCACCTAAGGAAGGCATCGAACAGGGCGGGCCTGCTTAGCACACGCCCAGGGCCGCTTGGTAAACGCCAATCCCTGAGATCCGACGTAGCGAAAGAATCCCGCCTGGAGCCCTGTGCTGAATCTTTCTGCGTCGTGTTTCGAGCCGGATCGACCTGTGGTCCTGGGGCACGAAAAAGAAGCGAGAACGCCCGGCTCGACAGAACTGAGACGCCAGGATCTCAGGGATTGTGGGCGTCGGGGTTGCCTTTCCTCCCTTGAGCCTTCTCGCCCTGGCCCGCGGCGAGCTCGCCCTGGCGCTCCGCCACGCGCTTCTGCTTGAACTCGATCTCCGACTCCGCCTGCGAGACCTGCCCGTGCAGTCTCTGCCGCAGGGCCTCGTGGGCGTGCACCGCCCCGAGCTCCTCCTTCTCCAGGTCGGTCTGCTCCTCTGGATGAAGATCAAAATTGGCGGCGCGCACAAGGTAGAAGCAGGCTGCTTATTAGAAGGCGCCAGCCTTACATCTATAGATAAGGCCCGCGCCTTCTAAGAAGCAGGGGTGCTTCTAAGAAGCCTTCCCCCATCCCCCCACCCCCCTCTGCGCGTGGCTGACAAAAAGCTGCATACGGCTGGACCTTGGACAGAAGAGCATCCTCCAGGAACATGTGGCCTCCACTGGCCAAAACACCCCGAACCACACGATCACTCGAGGGTGGCCTCCCAGAGGATGCGCGAGGACATCCAGCAAACACGAAGAACCTTGAGGCACCCTCCCCGAACCGACCTCGATCTTATACCTCGGCCCGACCGTACGGCAGGCTCGTGTCGTGTCGACCCCGGCGTAGGTGCCTGGCATCGCGGGGTTCTTTCGACCTTGAACGATCGACCGTTTCCGAAACGTCAGATCGTTCAACAACGACCGATTCTGGGCAACTGGCGGCGTCTAACGTTGAACGCTGGCGGCGGGGTATCCGCTGGTCGACACGACGTGAAACTTCAGTAAACATGAATTATAGGACCTCCCAGGAACAAGGAAAAGCGATATCACCACCACCAGGGACCACCAGCGGGAGGAGTCCCTCCCCCTCGCTCGAGAAATCCCCAATCCCCAGCTCGGGGAGGCATTGCGGATCTCCTCGCTGGAGGTGGCCCCCGTGGTGGTGCTGGTGTCGCTGCTCCTCCCTCCCAGCTGCCCGCGGAGTTCCTGGATCGACGCTGGACCCCCCTCCCTGACGCCCGCAGCGCGCCAGGGGCGACGCCAGCGGCTCCACCAGTGGGGGCCCAAAGTCTTGTGTGTATGCTTGTGCAGTTTGTTTGTTCTGCACGGTTTCCCCCGGGGCCCGTATGCGACCCGAGGACGAGGAGGAGGAGGAGGAGGAGGAGGAGGAGGAGGAGGAGGGGGAGGAGGAGGGAGGAGGAGGGGGAGGGAAGGAGAGGGGATGGAGGATGAGGAGAGAGCGGGAGGAGGGGATGGAGGAGGAGGAGGAGGAGGGAGGAGAGGAGGAGGAGGAAGGAAGGAGGATGGAGGAGGAGGAGAGGAGAGGAGGAGGAGGAGGAGGAGGAGGAGGAGGAGGAGGAGGAGGAGGAGGAGGAGGGGGAGGAGTAGGAGGAGGAAAAGGAGGAGGAGGAGGAGGAAAAGGAGGAGGAAAAGGAGGAGGAGGACGGGTCGCCTAAGCCATTCGGAGAAACCCTCCAGATTGTTCCTCGAGCCTCGATGAACCTGGCGCGGAGCTCGAGGAGCATCTCCAGCACGCCGCCCCGCTCCTTGGACCTGGCCTGGTAGCCGTACGCGACGGGCGCCTCCTTGAACAGCAGGGGGTTCGGCTCCTGAGAGGGAACTTTCGGGGGGGGCGCATCGACCCGGAATCGGCGAACAGATCGGCGAAGGTCCCCGACAGCGAATCCGCATGCTCCTGGGCTGGGGCGGGCTATCGGGCCCCCACTGGGCCATAATTCTGCTCTCCGGCGCCCATTGGGGACGATCTGGGCACCCCTATGGATCGTCCTGGGTGAGGCGCAGCCGCTGGAAAGCATCCCGAGGCAAGGAAGCCGACGAGAACCGACAAAAAGGTGCGACAACGTCAAGTCCCCATAGTTAGACCATAACCCCTGGGTGCTTTGGGGTCGATGGGGATTGGGGGTCGATGCATCCCTCCCCTGAGCCTGTCCTCTAACCAGCCTCAAGCTTATTCCTATCCCCACGAATGGCAAGCCCAAGGGCGATGACAATCTTAGGGACGCGACCTCAGAAACTGAGGGGGCCCTCAAGGTCGGCATCGAGAAAAGGTGATGCCAATCAGACGGATCGAAACATGCTTCAGGCTGGTAGCCCAAAACACGTTGCCCCTGAGCTCGGGCTTCTTCGGAGATTATGTCGAAACTCTCGGAGGCCAACTTGGGCCTGCTTGCGTAAGCCAGACGGGTGGGGTCGTCTGGCGTGCGTGAGGAGTGTACGCTGGCGTGATGCATACTCATGCTCGTGAGCATGCATCCACGAGTTTAGAATGGCCGCTCTGAATCTGATCTTTTTGGGAATGGTCGTTTTGGGCATGCCTACACGTGCTTGGGGTGGTAAAAAACAAGTAGATCCCACCCTGGGATGGGACACACAGATACATACTAATACTAAATGTCTGCATTGGAGGCGCGCGTCCGACTCGAACATATAGTATACCCATCTTGTAGTATATAGTTTCTCGAGCGGTGTGGCCAGGAAGCGTCCGCCAGGACTCATATACTATAAGATTTCTCGGTGCATGCGTCGCCTCAGGGAGGGCGACGCACACATAGCATTAAAATGCTGGGGTAACGCCGATGGGCGCCTCCGAGCCGTTCAGCTGCAGCAGCGCCGGCGCCCGCGAGCGGCGT